GTGACACAAAAATGTCTGATATTACTATGCTTTAAATGGGATCAGCAAAAAGACTGCATACTTGAGTAAAGTTAGCGATCCACATGGGCATGTTCACAATGAGATAAATAGGCCTAAATAAAGGGCTAGCTGTGCATTGTAATAAAGAAGATATTATGTGGATAAATGAAGTCTTAATATGAAACGTGAATACCATTTGTGGCACAGTTTCTTTTGGGATGTCAGTGGGTGTTTTATACACCATAGTAGCTGCAGTATGAAACCCCACCTTCCCTAAACTGGAGAAACTACATTATGAAAATCAATATGATTATTTACATTGGGAAAAAGTAGAGCCCTGTTAATGACACCACAGGATTCCCTACATAGCCATACACTGAGCTTCTCTGAATGCCTTTGCATACATTACAGCTATGTTTCAGTTTCCACAGCCATTTATTGGTATGTTCAATATTGTATACATTATAACTTTGTCAAATTTACATATTGTTACTTTAATGAAGCACTGTATTGGTGTGCAAAGCAAGTCAAGCCATACTGGTTCTTTCAGCAGGTCTTAGTGGTCTGTTGGTCAACACGACGGCTTTTGACCCTAAACTATTACAACAAGGCATTTTTGACAAACAGACCACTCACTGCGACCAAAAACAAACTGAAATGAACCATGTCTAGGACAGTAATTGTGCTCGGTTACTGAAGGCAGAAAGGAGATTCCTGCTTGCAATGACTTAACTGGACTCTACTTGAGTGTGAAAGATAATGTGTTTTAATGGTTGTATAATCAATGCAATTAAATATACTTGAAACGATTGAGCACAAATCTTAGATTTGCTGACACATGCTGCCAATCCTCCAGCACAGATCAACCAAATGATAAAAATAAATAGAAAGCAGTCACACATTTCAAGCTAACTACAATATATTAATATAGATCTTTTGATGTCATACGCTCATTAAAATAGGGAAAAAACACAAATTTCATTCACGCTGTATAAGTCAAGGTTCAGTTCCCAATAACCCAACCTCTTCCCTCCAATAACTTTTCATGCACCCAATATCAGTATGATGAGTTGATATATCAAAGAGAAATATTACTGAAGAGTTCAAAGTGTCATGACCCAGAGAATAAAGTATTAGGAAGGTGCAAAAAAAAAATAAAAATAAAATTAAATTAAACAAGTTGACATCTTCGGCCCGGGAGGATATTCCTCAGCCCTTAGGTCACACCAATACATCCCCAGTTAGATATTTTATAGGTGCATTCAAATCGACCTTTAACTTTACCCAAATGTGTAACTATATTACAGGGTTGAATAAAAATAAACCCTCATGATTGCTGCAAAGGTAAGAGAGAAAAAAAGTTTAAAATTAAATGCCGTAGCTTCCTCCTCACAGCAACAGCAATGTCCACCAAATCCCTACTGATCTCCCCATTCACACAAGCAAAAAGCACACACACACTTTCATTCACACTTGCACTCAACTTGATTCAGCCGCAAACAACTTTTGAAGAAAGGGGAGATACCAGTAAGGTGGGTGCCCCACCCAGCCCCTTGCACTACCATGAACAAATGAAGCCATGATATCAGGTGTTTTCATCGAAGTCGCCATTGTTCAAATTCACAAAGTCAGACCTCATAACTTCTGTATCTTCTCAGCCACCACAATGGGGTTCTCCTTGCGTATGCGCGCGGCTGCTGCACTCCGGTAATCATAGGGACAGTCATGTTTGTCAGAATAACGGTGGATGGCACAGAACAGGTTGCCACAGCGACAGTCAAAACCTGAGCAATCAAAAGAAAAATAACACACAGTTACAACTATAAGATATCAGTTACAAGCAGCACTACAAAATATTACTGTACATGGTAGAAATGTGTGACAATGTAGTTGAATTTATAAATGGCGTGGTTGGTAAGAAAGAGGTCAGGTAGGATTTTGGTGCTACAAATGTGCACACAAGTGAAAGTCTTCACCTTAAAGTAAAACAAATATGCTACTCTCAAGATTGTGAAAGAACTGGCTTGTGAAATACACCACTAACCTGTAGTATGTTGCTCTTTTCATGTGAGTTTCACTGAAAAGAATCAATTACCTAATTTCCTCTCACTGTGTGCATCAGTGAGGGCCTACTACTTTCTTTTCATTTTTATCAACTTACCAGTGAGACCAACTTTCTTCCGGCAGGAAAAGCATCGGTTCTTTTTCTTGTTTTTATCAGGCGTTTGTTCACCATCTGAAGACGCCTGTGCCGTATCTCCAACTTGTTCTAAAAAAAAAAAAAAAGAACTAAACTTTAATCACTGATAATTATAATACGGATTCTGCCTCTAGAATTTGTTAATACAATTCACATTTTCTGCTATAACAGTTCTGACTTGTTTTACCTGTGTTGCTGGACGTACTCTCTTCTTCTCCCTCCTCAGCTTCTGCTCTGTCCGAGTCCACCGGTGCTGGCTCTTGGGAAATACTCATGGCAGTCATCTGCTGAGTCACAGGGCTGGGAGAACTAGGACTACGAATTGCACACAATGTCTAACTTACAACTTTATTAACTTTATTGACATAATTAACATAACTTGGAACCACTTCACATAGGACATAAAATGAATAATATTAAGAGGAATAAACTAAAAAAAAAAGGGCTTTGGTGGAATTTATAACTTTGTAAATAAACAATCTTTGCACTTCACCTGCTGGTCTGTTCCTCAGGGGGGGTTCCTGCGGCGGGCTCTGTCTCTGTGCTGGGCTCTGAGGATGTACTCTCCACGTTCACACCAGCTGTTCCTGGCGATCCTGTGGGTGATGTAGCGGCTATATGGAAATTCAACAGTGAAAACAACACCTCAGACTTAAATCATAGGGGTCAGATATATGATACATTGATACATCCACATGCTAATTTCATCCTTAACTCTGTGTAAAGTGTGTAATCCTTAGAACTGGTAAAGTTACAGCATGTTATTTTTAAACTAGCCAAACCACCCAGTTTCTTACCTTTTTCACCTGGGGGGCTGGACCGGCCTCCTCCCTGTTGTCTCTGCAGGTGTTCCTTGTAGCAAACTGAGCACATACCATTGGTGCGTGGGTTGCCATAGAAACCACATCCCATAGTGCAAAGCATTGGCACCTGTGTCTGATTGGTCTCCTGAGCCATGCTCCAGCAGAGGGGGAAGGGGGATGGGAGATGATATTCCTGAAAAAGTGAATAGCAACTTCACCAAAACATTACCACACATGTCTTACTTGTTGACAGTTCCATGATCATTAACATTTGTGAAATGCCCAATTATAAAAACTGGACAACATTATCAGGCTCAGCAATTTTATACTGATCAAAAGACCTAATTAGTGAACGGCACTAACCAAAAAACAAACATGTTTTTTTTTAACCATGAGAATACAAGAGCAGTACTAATCACCGTTATAAATCTCAAGGATGTAGACCGCATTTGGTAAAAGTTGACTTGTGCTAAACTAAAATATGAAGAAAAGCGTGTCTACAAAACAGCAAAGTGAAACCAGACGAAGTAACGTTGAATCAATAGTTACTTTGGAGGGACACATTTTTAAAAGTGCAATGTTTACAGCTAAGCTCTTCCCGTTTTAACCAAGTTTGTCCTCAGCTGATAACGATTGGTGTCCTATCCCTGACCAGCTCAAAGCAAACACTCTACATTAGCCAACAGCCTCGCTGGGCGCTTTGTCTGACACTAGATACCGACGCAAAAACAGTGTCAAAACTCGCTTGGTACCCTTAACAGAAGAACAATTAACCACACAAATTACTCGGAAACACATTTAGATAGCAACATAAAGTATTTAATTTGTTATAAGTCGAAAACACTAGCGGTAGTTGGCTATCGTTAGCTGAAGTGCTAGCCTAATCAGCGAGCCCAAAACAGTGCGCGTCCAGACACTGTCCTGACCGGGTTTAAAATGGCTTACACTCACCAATACTTCGACAAAAACACGCCCGAACACCACTGTACCTGTGAATCGATGTACCGAAGGCTGTCGACGACCTTAGGCTTGGAAATTTGTACAAGTTTTTGTCTCCCAGCTGAGCGCGCGGCCTCCACCAGCGCGAGCTCCCGACATTCAAACAACGACCATGACGTCACCCTCAGCATTGATTGAGCCACAGGAGCAAAGTACAGCAGAGGAAATACTCCAACAAAACACGCATTACACTGGTTACAGAAGATTTATTTGTAATATATAGGCCCCATATTTCCTTACATGTACTATGTCACCAGGAAATTAATCATTAATACTGAACTGTACTGTAACACAAGAGAGGAATTACTTTACTATGACTTAATTTAAGAATCCTGATGAAAGTTGTGTGTTCAGTGGGCTTTTAACCAAATAAATTTGAAATGATTTTACAGTATGTTCAGTATTTTCATGAAATTATCAAAGCCACATACTGTATACAAAATATATATTTATTCATAATACTGATAAATTAATTTTTTGGTCCATCTTGCTCCATTGGCACATCTGACTCGGGTTTCTCAGTCAACTGAGGTGCAAAGGGTCCAACCAGCCAGTTCAGAGGGGTGTTGTGTGTGAGATACTCCATCACACTGTCCAAAGATTGCTGAACCTGTAGTAAAAAAGTACAAATTATAAATGAATAATTAGGCAATTATTTTAATTAAAACAACATATTAATGTAAAGTGCAGAGCTATTGGCTACCACGCCTTATGCAAAATAATAAGCTATTATAATTTCAGTTGTGTTTTGAATAATAGTTTTGTAGTCAAATGAAAACACACTTACCTTGGTTAGATGTTGCCGGCTGCGCTCTAGAAGCACAGGTGTCAGAGAGCGGGTGTTCCCTAAAGATGAGCGGAGCTCTTCAGCAGATGTTATAGCACTGCTGAGCTGCTCCTGCACTGCACTTGGCAGCCCCTGTGCACTGGACACTACACTTGAGCAAGCAGACTGCAGCTGGTTACTCAAACCACGCACCATGGACAGGGCCCTCCATTCCAGCTTCTGTCAACATGACAACATTTGTAGTTATTTTGAGACAGGAAATCTATGTATCATTTGGAGCTTAAATGCATTTCATATCACTGTAAATTGTGCCAGCACCTCTTTCTCATCTTTGACTTCCTCAGGCTCAGGCTCTGGCTCAGTGTGTTCAGTTTGAGCCTGGACCTGTTGCCACTCTGTCCAGCGCTGCTGCAGCTGCTCAGACGCACCATCAGGCTGATCAGGGGTAGCACCAGGGCCTCTGCGAGCACTTTCCAACAGGTCCAGAGTGCTGGCTATCTGGGTCATTGCCGCGTAGGTGGCTTCCCTCGCCTGACACGCTCGGACCAGTGATTGCTCCCGGGCACGCTCTTGCACCTTGGCAGAGAGCTTCCCCAGCCGCACAAAATAACTGGGACTGCCAGGCGGGCTGGTGGTTGTAGTGGAGATCTCACCACTAGTAGCAGGTTCCGCAAGAGCAGCTGAATGGAAAGACACAAATGTCATATTATTAATAGTATAATGGAGTTTTGTGCATTTACACAACTACATTATGTAAAAATTACAATTATTATAATTTTTTTATTTGTTAGGACACCATTTTGTAAAAGGCATTTCTGTCATGGTAACATGACATAACATTAGCAGGTGTCAGAGCTCTGTGTGTTGGAAAATGAAGGCCCCTTTTTGAGCCAAGCAAACAGAAGGGAGGTTATTGTAATGCCCTGCTCTCCTTGCTATGAATAGCATCAAGCCTCTCTGTGGTCCCTTTGCAGTGACCTCTACTCAATTTTGTAGAATAAACAGTTTAATCTCCTCACACTTTAAACTGCAAGCCTTGTTGTAATAACAAAATAAACTAAATCAATAAAATATCAGTTTACCATAAATACAGTTCTGACTATTGTCCTAACGGTTAGGTTCTAGTTACAACTAACTTTGTACAGTATTCCATCATTTACAAAGCACTGACCCAGTTCTCTCTCAGAGAGTGGCAGGTTCTGGTCGACCCAATGTTCTGATCGGCTGAGGGCCATGCCCATCCCACTGCTGACCATCTGTCCCAGACTGGTGCCCATGACAGTGCTGATGCCACCACTGACCGCAGCCCGGGTCAGCTCCACACCGCTCCACAATGTGCCCACCACAGCATCTTTAGCCCCAGTTACAGACTGGTACACCATGCCCACTGTGTCTGAGACCACCTGAAAACAGATAAAAATGTACACAGTAATAAGCAGTAATAAACAATGTGTAATTTCCAATAACTTGAATCATTAACTTAATTTACAATACAGTTTTAAACCTATTTATGGGCATTAACAATGTATCCAGAAAAAAAAAAACATTTTAAATTTTGCAATTCATCTAAAAAAAATATTTAGAAAAAAAACTATGGCAGAAATAGTATATAAGGTAAAGGGAGTTCCAGGAAAGGTGCCAATCCAGGCATGTACATTAAATAATTAGAGAGAGGAGAGATGTAGCTTATAAACCCAAATATACCTTGTCTGCTGGTTTGTGAAGAATGGGCAGCTTTTCTTCCACTTTATCCAGTCCTTTCATGGCAAATTCATTTACTGTTGCAACTAAACAATAAAGACAACATTTTTACTATAACAATGTTAATGGCCATCAATATTATGACATGTAAACTATAAGAGTGAGGAGTTTAGCTTACGCTGTGGCTCAATATAGTCCAGCAGAGGCTTAGAGCTGGTAGTGGCAGCTGCTCCAAGTGTCCGCACCCCGCTCTCGGCTGCATCCATCACTCCCTTCAGCAAAGGCACACTGTCTTTGGTGCTGGTGTAGGCGCTGGATACTACCCCACAGGCAGAACTCACCAAAGGCAGATTCCCCACTCGAGCAACTACATTCTACATAGAAAATACAAAACATATGTTAATATAAGATGTGTGTACTTAGAAGTATGAAAATGGGTTACAATGATTATTATTAGTAGTAATTATAAAGTAAATCTGTAAGCACACTGAATTTATTGATTAAAATTGTGATCCAATATAGGGCTGGGTGAAAAAACCCTTAATCATGGCTATTTAAATATGTCGTCAAAGTTCTCTGACCAAACCACGTACTTTTACTAACAGGATTGGTTGTAGGCCTCTTGATTACAAAGACCCAAGCTGAATGATCATTGATGATTTCCACGGACTGAATTTTGATCTCAGTAAAAATATCATAAATTTACATCCCAAGTCTACTGTAATGTCCCAGATGACAGAGAAGATACAGATATATTGAATACAACAACATGCTTGTGTATCTGGAAATTGAAAGTATGTTATTTTAGACAAATGTATGTTATTTTAGACAGCGTAAAATCATTAAAGTGTTAAAGTTCACACATTATTACATCTCATACCAAGTTGGATAATAGGAATGTCACATAATATCAAAACACTTATAACAGAAAAGCAGAAATAATTCCTTTAATTTACACAGTCTAATAAATTGCAATTCATCTAGTATATGACCAGCATTATTAAATCTAAATTTGTGAATGATGGAGTAAAGTTAAAAGCACTTTCCATTGAGGTTTACTGTTTAGGAGTATAGACTTATAATTATTATTAGATTTTACTTGTATTGTTGTGGTCTCATAATAACTGATTAATTATTGAATAATGTTCACAGTGATATCCCTATTGGATACCCATGTTTAGCTGATCAGAGGTTTCTTAGATACACTATTGCATGAACAAAGTGATGCAGTAGTTGCCATGGCTGCTTTTCTTGGTCTTCTCCTAGTTTGAACTGACTGAAAACCCACTATATTTACCTGATTTGCTATGACCTCACTTCAACTTGTTTCAAAATATCTAAAAGAAAATGTCTGCAGATCAAAAGTCATGCCAAGGTCAGAAAAGTTGTTTTCAGCCGATGAGAAGAAAAGTCTTGGAATTGAAAAACTTGAATGTAATAAAGGAATAACTCATACACGGGGCATCAGTGGTGAGTCCATGAATGTTTCAGTGCAGCCTTTAGATGTTTCTGTTTGTAATTGGAGTTATTTGGGGTCATGAAATCCTCACCTGCTGATCTCCATTAGTGTTCTCCGCCACTGTAGCTCCGCTCTCATTAGTCTTCCCGCTGTCCGCCATTGTAAGCGCTCGATTCAATCTCTATAACGTGGAATGCAGAGAAACAGTCACTCACCTCACATTGCTTAGTAACAGTGTCATGCATTTTTCATCTCAAATCCTGCTAATAAGATGGAGATGAAGAGAGGCGAGTTTGGAGAGTGCAATGAAATCACAGTTATGTTTTAAAACATGCAGAGAGGCAACCAGACCATGTTAAATTCATTTGTCAACGCCATGATGCAACAAGAACGAAACTGCACAGTACAAAACAAAATGCGGCAAAACAAAACGTGTCTTCCATCCCCAATGTGTCAAACTGTTATGATTCTATATGTATGACTTACTCTACTTGATATAGTAAATTCTTTCATTTTTAACTTGGACTGGTGCACTTAAACACTAAATTCTAGTATTTGTGTATTTGCTTATTCGTTTCAGATACATTTCTCCTCATGACCTCTTGTATATAGAGGAGATATATTTGTATTACTATATTTTTATTTTTACATGTACATATACATTTATATAATTATGCATTATTTGACACCAGTCTCTTGCTCTTTTTACTACTTACTTTGTATTTATTATTACCATTTATATTTATATTTATATTTTTTGTTATGATAATATATTGAATATATTGTGATGGGTGAGCTACTGTGTCCAAATAATTTCCCTTGTGGATGAATAAAATTTGTCTAAGTCTAAGTCAAGTAACATGATCTTCTGCTGAGGCTTGAACATATAGTGACAAAGATTGAATAGAAATTGCATCCCTGTAACAATCTGCTGTTTTGGAGATATTGGGATTCTTCAGTGCTTTTTTGTTTAATGCAACTCTATACTCAAACACAGACCCTTTTTGCAATCACTCCTCCTATAGATCAGCCCCTGCAATGCTTTGAGTGAATAACAGGTATAGTAGATAGTTTTAGCTGGCAATAGAAATATAGTAAGTGTACATCATAAGTGCATTCAAACAGAGGCCTGGCTTCAAGAAAATTGTGATGTCAGTATATCACCCACTCCTACGGACTAACAAAGTGCCAGCTTGTTGTGGCTGGATTAAAGTCTAAAGTGAGTTTCAGTTATAGATTTTCTTGCCTCTCACCACGCGTCTTTCTTGTGATTTCAGGGTCTTGAGTGAGAACAGGCTTGATGTAAAGGAGGAGTGAAGGTGAGTGTTGTTGACTGATCTGTAAGAATCCTCAGAGGACAGACGGCATCCTCCAACCTGTGGACAGCATCTGTTTACTGAGCAGCTGTCTCCACTGCAGCAGTCTTAACAAGCATTTGGCATCTTTAACCTGATGCACAAGGCGCAGGAGGCAAGGGTAAACTCCCACCTGCCTATCTCAGGAACACAAACTTCTGACATATATGTTATCTTTCTGTTCACATCCTAGGCTATTTAAAAGTCATCTTAAAGGTGTACTATGTAACTTTTTAGGTAGAGTGTCGGTCACCTGCTTGTTTCCATGTTTGGCTAGAATGTTCCACAGTAGGGAATTAATCTAGCATTTATTCAGTTACTTGTTTTATATTGCTATAAATGATGATCTGTAACTTGGCCTGATTGCTTCACATGCCATGTCTCCATAGATGTAGATAAATTTAATGCTACATTATGGAACATTCCAGGCAACGCAATAACGTCATAGAGACAAGCAGGCGACAGGAAATTACGTAATGCCTAATGTGACCTAATGAAATACAATTTAATTACAAAACGTTTTTCCACAAACTCTGTGTTGTAGCAAATTGCATTTTATTGTAGCATTTTTCTTTCTTAAGTAACCTTTCATTTTTTTCTGACTGGCAGCTTGTTGAAATCTTTTACAAGGTTTACAACACAGCAAAGTCTAACAATGTGAGATGATGAACCCAAGATAAGGGTCACAGTCATAGACATTGAGATAATTTGGAAAAAACTGATTATGCAACACCAAATTAGTAATTTCCTGAGAATACACCAGGGCACTACTCTAATATATGAGAATGAGTAATCCTTTTTAGAACACTAATAACACTACTAATAGATGTTTTAATACTGCAATTAATTCTGTAGTTAATTATTTAATGGATGCCTGACATATTGACAGCAAATGAAAATGAAACTAACATTTTAAAGAGAAAAGCAAATGCACTATCATAGATTTTGAGTTGGGACTAAAAAATAATGGTCCCATTTATCCAGTAATCTTGTTTGTTAAAGTGGATCAGCAGAACAGCCAGTGTACCAAATAGATTAGGCAAACCAGTCATGACTATGTGAACGTGACTCTAACTTAACAAAATTTATAACCTACATTTTCCCACATTTGTAGTAACTTTGTTGGTCTAATAATAGATTTAGTAAACGCCCTTTACAGTAGTTTGTGCAACTTCCAGTAGCCAAGTGGGCTAACTAGCTTCTCTGGTTTTCCCATAAACTTTAGCTAATAAGTTTGGTGGTATTTTATCGTCGCAGTCATGAGCTGAGCACATGTGTAAACACTGACCTGAGATGACCGCTGCTCGCTGTGCTGGCTGGATCACTGTCAGTGTCACTGTGGGCAGGTTAATCAAAGCTTTTCTATAATGCTCTTGTTTCTGGGCGTGTTGTTGTGTGTGAACTTCAGGAACAAAAAGGCGGAGAGAGGGCATGTCCTGTCAACTTTTAACCAATTAAATCACAGATGCGGGAACACAGAAGAGTTTAAAAACTAAAAAGAAATAGAAACGAACGTAAAACAAACAGTAAACAAAGGTTAATTTGACCATGTCCTAGTTTAAAAATCAAGCACGTGTTTTGTCTAGTAGTATATGTGGTGGCATTAGCCGTTTATCATTATTTTAATAAACATACCCCTAATGTAACTCAGTAATAGGCCTAATTGTTTTATACGTTTTATATCGTAAGTTTTTATAGCCCTGTCGTTTCCTATTTTTTACAATATATTCGTTTCTTCTTCAAAGTAAGGTTGATCTGTTGTGACAGTTTATCAAAAATGTAGTTTCTCGTGTTAACCCTAAGGGGGCAGTGTTTATCCACTAAGCCTGTTGTTGACTGGAGCCCCATTTTACATTCTAAAGATCTTCCTACCACTGCAGCTCCCCAACATCAGAGCAAAACGGTATATTTAATTTAGTATTAAACCATGAAACATTTAACACCCTTTGAAAAACAGACCATAACTCTACGGAAGAAGAACCCGAGACAATAGTTACACTGAGATAAAACTACGCCTTACTTACTTACTTAGGCCTATCAACTAAGGTGTAGTGCACCCTCTGCTATTTTTAAATCCACGTTTTTCATCCCTATAAAAACAAACTACCTTTTGTGCTAGCCTCTCTCTATCACTGGAAGACCATTAAGTCCCTCTTTTCATTGGGAGAATTTTCATTATTTAAGTCATTACTGTTTCATTGTGCCCCTCTGTAATTTGCCAAATACAAAGCTAATACTTGGCTTTAAAAGGGAAACAGATTTGCACAAATGTTGTTAAAGCTGGAACTCACTGATAGGACCTATTAGACTGTTTGGTTTGGCAGTAATTCCTGGGCTGGTAGAACTGTCTTTTACTTAGACTCAAGGGGAGAAAACATAAGGCAGGGATTCTTAATATGAGCTACATGAATATTGCATTTATATATATATATATATATATATATATATATATATATATATATATATATATATATATATATATATATATATAAAACAGTTTCCCTATCATCTACAGTGTATCTGGAGGTTTTTTTATGTATAAATCTTTGGAAAATGTACAAGGATTCCATGAACCACTAGGGCTGTGTAATTAGGTTTTATAAAATGATTCAATCATTTGCGATGATGTGCTTGGGGCTTTTTAACATGGTAATAAGAATAATAATGCATTTGACTTATATAGCAGTTTTTTGGACATTCAAAATACTTTGCAATGCATTATTTATTCACTCTACACTTGGTGAGATTCTAAAATAGTCACAGCTGCCGTGGGGCTGACTGACGGAAGCAAAGCTGCCTATTTGCACTATCATCACCAGCACTCACGCAGACACCACATTCATAGGCAATGCAGGTGAAGTGTTCAACCTAAGGACACAACGATAGTTAGCACTATAGGACCACGGCTGCGTCACTGTGGCACCTATTCCCTATTCCCTGGTTAGTACATCGGTCTCCCACCTAAGTACTAACCTAGTCCAGCATGGTCAGCTTCTTAGACAAGATCAGGTATTGTTGAGCAAGCTGACATTGACATTTAGCTCTGCAGGTTAAACCAGAAGCAAAAACTAAACAGAGTAGACTGAGCCAAACCAGGTTTAATTTGGAGAGAGTAGATGACTAAACTAGCATTTTCTGATTGGCAATTAACAGAAAAACACATTTTACAATTTCCTGGAGTGGGTCTGATATGGCCTAGAGGTTGTCTGCTCCTGCTCAGCTCTGGACCTGACTTCATAAGAGCAGATGATTAAGGCCATAAGAGCTGTAGGTATCGAGTAATTGAAGATTAGCAGATAATAGAAAATCCTCCCTTACAGTAAAACTATCATCTCTTTCTTGCACTACGTGTGCCTGAAGACTCAGCCACGAAGATAAGCACCAGACCATGATCAGATTTTCATGGAGGCTAACCACAAATCATATAGGCCATGCTTTTACAACATTAACCAGAAGAGGCTTTCTGTTTACCACTGATAAAAAACAGGCAGGCAGGCAGGCAGTTAATACAACTTCTATATAGTTTAGTTTTGTTGTTTCTGTTTTAGACGTAGAATTGTGTTGTTTGCTATATTTGAATTTTGTCTGCATAGCATTTTTTTGTAACACTGACAGAACTACTATTCTTGTGTAATGTAAAAATAGAGCCAGTTGTAAAATTCAGCTCTCTATTATACTCAATATAAACCAATACTTCCCTTTTAGGATGACATTCTTGTGATCACAGTCCAACTGTTCAATAGAGTCAATTACACTGCAGGTGTTTGAACGTATAAAAGCAAACATTATGGGTAAATGTTATGCTTCTTACGAGAACAATTCTCCAAGGACTCAGTAAGCTCTGAAACTATAACAGCCCTAATATCAGATAATGAAAGGATTGGCTCTCCTCTGTATTTACCATTGAACCTTATCATAGTGGCGCTGCTGCTGAAACTGTCCCTATATAGTTTCACTTTGTCAGCCTGGAAGAAATCAGACTCCAGTTATTATTAGATGCCTAGTTCTGCTTGGTTTTAGATGCATCATACACCATATATGGGCATTGTATTACAAACTTCCTGAAAACAAATTTCCGGAGGCTTGCAACATGCGGTATCAATAACATACAACACTGGGACAAATCATCTCCATGTTGAAACTGGATATGCACCTTTTGGCCTTTACTATATCCTGGCCTATAGCATATTAATATGGAATAACTAAGTCCAGGCTATGTGGCACTGCTCCGAGCCAGAGGGACCACTCCATCATGGAGAAAGAAGGGAAACTAGGGCTTAACCTCAATGCAAAAGATCACGAGAAACCCATTTGTTATTGCATTATTTCTACATAATTCATCAGAGCCATGCATGACAACATTCTACAATGTGTATTCCATAGGTAGATATATATATATATTTATTTTTTCTTTTAGAGTGATGCAAATAACAGACTTTATGTTTGCATTTTTTGTTTGTTTCGTTTTAAAGATTGAAATGCAAAGTTCTCTTTATCTGTCCTAATATGGACACATAGATGTATAGAAATGGAAGGGAAATCAATGTAAATGCCTGTCTATATGAACAAATGATAAGCAACACATGTGAAAACACCTGTTATGTATCAGGTAAGAACTCAGAGAATCCATTAACCTAATGCATTTAACTTTTGAAGAGAAACTGTTAAAAGTTCAGAAGAAATTGCCCTTCAAGGAACAATTAACCAGAACTTTTTTATGACTGCAGTGGGCCTGTTGGGGAAGATAAAATTTGGAGACAGGATATTTTTTGTGGAAGCAGATTTAAAAACATGACAAACTGTGCAACAATAAAATGCAATGTCACTGTATGTAGGACAATCAGAGTAGCAACAGGAAGTGTTATTGGCACATTCTACATGGTTCATATTTATTTAGCTTGATTTGCTCTGTCTTGTGCCACTGTTTTAATGCTCTGAACATGACAGAAGAATATAACAAACAAGGTACCAATATTAAATAATTACTAACAGTATTGATCAGCCTTTACTTCGATGTTATCAATAAATAAATAAAATAAAAAGTCTTAACTCCTCAATTAAAAAATCCCAACCTGATGATGACGATGACTGGATATCTTTATAAAAAATGTATAAATTAAACCAATTTATTCATACTTCTAATGATTGATGCATGTAGAAATTCAAAAAAATATTACTCCAAGAGAAAATTTCACACAATATACCAGTGACTGCTGGATAATGGCAAATTGAAGATATTTGAAAAATGTTTCGTCTTGTATTGGGGCATGAAATCTGAAATCTGAAAAATCAGGGAGAACTGGTCTTAAATCAGACCCAGGTCACTCCTGGCACAAGCTCAATCAGACTTTCTGAGGCTCTCCCTCCTCTCTGTATTTTGATTGAACTTTTTTTCTTGGTCCGAATTCACACTTCACTGCGGCACCTCCTCACCACCACAACACCTGACATGTTATGCTCCAGTGTAACCCAGAAAGGTGCCAAGTGCATATTGCTTTGCTCAATCAGCCTGCCATCCACGCCTTTTACCCCTCTCCTTTCCTTTGAGTGTCCCTGTTCTCTCCGCCTCCATCTTCTTCCTTGGTCCAGACCACATCCCTGTCTCATTTCCTCCGGTGTCATCCTGCGGCAGCTCCCTGACAGATTGATAACTGCCTCTGCACCACCTCTCTGTAATAATCGCACTGCTGAGACTGGCCCTTGTTAATTTACAGCAAGTGCATCATATTACACATATAAGATCTATAGATCTATAAGGTCTATCACATATATTAATGATACAGGAAATAATCTCTCTTACATAGCCATCATATGCTTTGTGACAGCTAAACTGTGACCTTAATTAATATGGATGAGTGAGGAGATGAGAAAGTTAAATGACGTTTTTATGTTTAAGTATCAGATGCTCTTTAGTATTATTAGAAAGGACAGAGATGTTAAACCAATGACATGTAATACCCTGAAGTGATATTATATTAGGATTGAAATCAAATTTGAAATTGTTAGTACACAATTATAGTGCCCTATTCTTTGGTTTGGTACTTAAAGTGCATATGTGGTTAAAGTCACTGGAGCCTGGATAAGTTGCATGACAGAGAACATCCTGTACATATATACCAAACTTAGAAGCCAAAATATGCAAACTACAGCACACTTACTTTGAAGAGGCTGTACCAGATTTGAATTTATTCTTGTCTACATTCTTGTCTACATGTGATCCTTACCTCACATATGTATAAAGCTGCAAAATAAGAAAAACATATAGCACCATATCAACAGCTTTGTAAGTTTTGCAAATAACTAATGCAGAAGCTATGGGATCACCTTTTTCATCCAATCAGACACATTGTTACTTAGAATCATGGGAAACCTCCAGTCTGACACTAACCCAGATGCTTGATTTTTCTATCATGATGCAGTTTCAAAAGTGACAAGAATGCTCACAGTAGGCACTACACAGAGAGTGAAAGGGGAGAAAGAAACAACCGCTTGCCACTAACGCAGACAGTTGTTTTTGTGTCATGGCGCAATGTCACAGTGGCAGAAAGGACAAAGTGAGTGGGGCTAAAAGTTCAAACTAAAGCGTGTTCCTGACTCATGGTTAAAATCAGGCTCAGGCCTTTTAATCTGAATAAGGAATGTGTTGTCATATAAAGCATAAAATATTGCGAAATTGCAAAGAAGCAACCAATAATGTCAAAGGGCCTATATATTCCGTTGTTTTCTGATCTATGTTATGGTGTTGTTTCCTTATCACAAACATATCTGGAGTTGTGTTTTGTTTCATTCACACATATTTAACACACAAACCCTGCATATTTCAGCCAGGTTCTTCTCTCAAACAAAAATACAGGAAGTGCTCCGCTGTGTTTTTAAACTACACACACCTTCACTTGAATCATTTGAATGATTTCAGCCCTGGAATCTCTACTGAACAAAGGTAAAAGGTTTGAAAGCTACAACTACAAGACAATATAAGGTGATGAGCATTTCAAGATTTGGAGATACAGACAGACTAATAATAATAAAAGATTACTCAAACATGTGAACGAAACCAAACACAACTCTGGATATGTTTTTGAGGAGGTAACAAGATTAAAACATTTGTCAGTTTTGTGTAATTTAGACCCTTTAACAGCAATATTCATTTCGAGTTGTATTTATTATCTGCCATGTAATTGTGTGATAAAGTAGGTTGGTCTGAACACAGTGAGTTTGTTCACAGCCGGTTGGACCATGTGATTGCTTCAGTAAAACAGAGCAGTCACACAGAGACTGAGACATCTTTATTTTACATCCACATGCAGCAGCAGTGGAATTCTGAGGACACAAAAGCCCTTGCTGTGAAAAGTTCATCTAACTTTGGCACCCCCACCCTCCTTCCCCCTCCTCCTCCCTCCGCCATATTACCTCAGGAGGGATGTGCTGCCCTCCCTCGTCCCCTGTGTGGTTTACAGATTAAGTGCTTTCACCATCAAAGGTTGTAGACGTTTTTGCTAAGCTTTTTTTTTTTTTTTTTGCCTCTCATGGCATTTCCTGTCTTTTTTATCTAGCACAGGTCTATCGTCTCTGACACCACAACTAGGATAAAAAGAACAGGATGAACCAAACATTTATTTTCATTTATTTACTGTCCAAACATGAAATAGGTTTGTGTTCCTCTGATGTGTATGGTATCAAAAGAACCACTGGGCTGAAACTATACAAAAGAGATATGGGAATTTGGGTAAACTTGACTTTAAAATCTGGCACCATAAGAAATTATTAATAATGTATGGTACTTTTATGTTGTGTTTTTGCTGGGGTTTACCAAATACAACTCAAGGAAGACACAAATAATCATAGTAATAAAAAAAATAACTTTATTTAAGGTCCTATATTACACAAAATTGCCTTTTGTGATCTTTTAGTCATGTTAAAACATTGTTACCTCATCAAAAACATACCTGGCATTGTGTTTTGTTTCATTCACGCGTTTTGAGTAATCTTTTATTATTAGTCAGTATCTTATATTATATCAAGAAAGCTCAAAATGCTTTGTTCCACCCTGTCATGTCATGAAGCTATAATTTTCAAGTTAACAGCTCCTTTTACATTTAGTTGAGTCGGAATTGACAATTCCAGGGCTGAAATTATCCAAATGATGTTAATGAAGGTGTATGGAGTTTAAAAACACAATGCTGTGCTTCTTAAATTACGACATGACATCACCAGGTGGAACAAAGTGTTTTCAGTTTGAGAGAAGACCTCAGCCTAAATATGCAGTCTGTGTGTTAAACATGTTGAATGAAAGAAAAAAACAACTCCCAGTATGTTTGTGATGAGAAAACAACATCATAATATAGATCAGAAAATAGTTTAAAATGGGACCTTTATCTAGCCACTCTGCCTCTTACAAAAGCTCTGAAGATGTGTGTTAACTTGCTAACCAACATAGCTATTAGGTAGCCTGCACAATGAACAAGTGGTAGGCTATTTCTGATATGCACACCACGTCAATGGTCACAATGTTATGTTTGATCCCCTTCATAGAAATGTACTGCAATCCACAAAAGTGCCATTGTTGAAGAGTGCAATCATTACTAATGGATTTTTGTAATAGGACCATTCCAACGGGCAATTGTACAAAGCTGAAAGAGGTCACTAAGAGCTCATAATCTGTGATGGTTAAATTATTCCTTCTCTTTATAATGGAGTTAAGTCTACTTCACTGGACAAAGACATTCCCCAATAAAGTTTAAATTTCTGACAATAAAGTACAGCGGCTGTCTGGTTAAGCATGCAAGATGAATTCAGAACTGCAAAAGAAGATGAGGAAAATCACTAATTATCATTAATCATTAATCGTCACTGTGACCGACCCTAGTCTAGTACAATACTGCAATGTTAGAGGAGCTGCTTTTTTTTGTAGTTTTAAAAGTGCACACAAGATTTAAGATAACAAATCTAATATGTGTTCATTATTCACCATGCATTTTATTAAATCAATCATTTAAAAATAAAAAAGAAGCTGATGGAAATACAAACAACTGTTCACCATTAAGATATTTTACAGAATGAATTGATTAATCTGAAAGTTAACACTGTATAAAATTATAGGCATCGTCCAACTGTCATAACACATACTCTCACAGGTACAATCATACCTGCAAATGAACTTCAACAAACTGCTCAAAACTATTTAGTGCCACTTTTATAGTTATGCCCATTTTGTTGATTACCTTGTTTTTTAATGTACTCCTTTTAATTGCATTCTTTTTGTAGCATCTTTGCACGTTTAAAAAAGTGGTATATAAAGAAAATGTATTATTATTATTATTAAATGTCACGTTCACCTGTTTCCATAAACTTCCGTGTACTTAGGCCCAAATATAACTCACAATGCATTGGGACATTTTGACCCCATATTTCAATGATCATTGAGTATTCTCCTGCAAACAGCAACTCATTTTCCTTTTTGTTGTCCATGTTTTTCAGTCTCCAAGCACTGCTGGTGTTTATTGTGTACCTTAATTATCACCATAATTATCTGTTCTTTCTAGAATTAGTTTGAGACACTTGGGCAAGCACTATATATAAATGAATCTGATGTATCGTAAAACAGCATTTCCACAGAAACATTTCCACAGTTGTGTATGTTTATTGGCTGTGTTAGTAAAGTTCACTCTCACTTCTCTAATTACTACAAATTATGCAGCTAAATGAGTGCGTGGTGAAGTTTTCAGAGTCATGACATTTAAGTACACTGTACAGTGGGATGCGAATGATAATTGCCTTTATCCTACTGAGCCTGTGATGTTAATGTGAGTCTGTTCCACACTTCACAGCTCTGTATGTTTCTATAATTACCAAGAGACCAAACAGTAACACGATGAGCACACAGTTTGAATACGGAATGTAAATATTATTAATAATGTTCTGCAAAGGCAAAACCATGAACAGTTGAGAATAATTTATTTTAAAAAATCAACTTTTTCCTCTGTTTACATTGGCTTTTCAAAATCTGATTATGCACTGAACAGTTCCCAGATAGATAAGGTCAAATATTTGGCCTTAAAAAATAAATGATTATGATATAGGCCTATATAGCTAGTTGCCTAATTCCCCTAATAAAATAAGTACATGTATGTATATATATGTTATATATTTCAAAAAGGTAATGAGAACCTTTCCAAAACTTCACTGAAAAGCTAAAATAAAGGTTTGCCAAATAAACAAGAAGAAAAGTATGAGGCAATTCAATAAAATGTTCTTGAAGTGACTGTAACACAGACATGGCACAATGGCATGTTGGTAATGAGGAAATTCAAAAATGATTTTTCTCACGAACTTTGCGCATGGAATTCTTTCTAAGCTTTCACACCAGTGCCCAGACCCTTGAGCAGATTTGAGTCCCCAGATGTACACCCAATTAGCCCTAATCAATTCCATTCCAGTGGCAGCTGTATTCTGCTTCAGGTTTTGGCGCTAACAGGCTTGAGGAGTCTCGTGTGGATGACAGCGGGGAGCAGTGCTTTGGAGATGCTGCTGTAGCTCTTACTACCGCTAGAAGACAACAGTGTGGTCCTCCCACCTCCGCGCTCGGACACAGCTCGTGAGTGCCGCTCAGTCTGACTAGGGGACCGTGCAACTACTGCTCAGCCTGTACATGGGAGCCTGACTTGGGTTGGATTTCTGGGCTGTTTGGGGGCGCACACGAGTTTTAGTGTTGTGAAGAAAGACGCAGTTATGACAGAGCAGCAGTCGTGCGCGGCTTGAGCAGAGGAATATAAACGAAGTATTGTGGGAGAAGATTGATAACGCGACTGGAAGGCAAGGAGGCAGATGTAATTTCCAAAAGCAGTGACTGTTCGTTTTGGATTTGCTCTTTCTTTGCCAGCTTTCATATGACTTGGATCTCCCGGACACATTGCTGCAAAGACTAGTACCATGTGTCGTTACGCGGTATAAAAACCTCATTGTGGAGATCTCTGTCGCACCGGGGGACAGGTGGTGCCGCTTGTCTGTGCGCGCACGAGGGGGTACGCGGACTTACACAAGCTTCCCAGACAGTTGTCCTATAGCGATGTTTGGCTGGATATCGGTTTGTACCAGAGACAGGTGCGAGAGAGGAGAGGAGGAGTAGTTCGCAAAGCCCCACGCGGGGTCTGGCAACGCGCTAACGAGACTTATCCAGACTCTCCGCGCGCTCGGGATTTGTTTCTATTCGCTTCGGGCCAAGGGACGTCTTCTCTCCGCTGGACCAGAGGTGAGTGAGTGTCCGGAGGCGCGAGGGGCTGTTGTGGGTGGTGGTACTGTGGCTGGTGGTGCGCTCTGAACACGAAGTCAACGTTTTGGATAATCTCTTGTCACTCACGCGGGCAAGGTTTCTCAAAACTAAGCGGACACGAAGCGATGTGCGTTTCATTCTCATCTCATCTACAAATATATAAGCCTATAAAACATATTTTATAGTGCATATTTCTCAATTTCATACTGCGTAGCTTACGGCCACGCACCTAGCAGCAAATAGTGAGCTTTAAGAGCCTGCAGCCAACCACACTGCCCACGAACTGAATGTATTGATCGGTTATTGACAATACTCATATCAATGGGTTCAGCCAAATTATGTCCTTGGCAATACCAACGCTATCTGTCACTCTGCGAGACAATTTATTGACAAGCAATGTTAGTGCGCATTAAGTGTCTTTTTTAAGCAGGGTTTGCCAATGCACTTTCCCAACCTTTTAAGGATTCTGCAGTTTGAAACGTTCAGTGATTTGCAATGTCTTTTGTGTATTTTTCACAGTTTAAACAAGTGCATGCATCATTGTTTCTCTGGCTCTACACCTCCCCACCTTTCTCTCTGCAGTATGTTACATTATCTTCCACTTGATACTGTCACCATCCCATTTTTGTACTGTGTTAAGGCTGCCTGAGTAACACAGATTCTTCTTCAGTTTTCTTAATTTGGGAGTTTAGTTGCCGGCCCCTGTTTCAAATTCAAATTGCCTTTGAATCTGGCTTTTGTGTTGCCCCAAAGGTTTGTGAACTGGAAAAAGACACAAGTAAAGTGAAGTCCCCAAGGGTCAGAGCATTCCTATAATGAGCCAAGTGTGTGGAGAGGAAGAGGAGGGACAGGAGGAAGAAGGTTCTTGTCTGGGAATGGAGACTGTCCAGGGAATAGCTGGATACCTCTGTTAACCTATCTGTCACTGTGTGGAGCAGGTCTATGCAGGACAAGAGCTTCTTTAACGCCACCAGGCCATGGCACTTAGGCAGTACAAGTACAAGCAGATTGTAGTGTTATACAGAGAACTATGCTTTTCCATTTTAAGAGCTAAAGAAGAGATACTATGACTCACATGTGCTTTGTTCGTGAGTACATAACTGTAAACAGAACATGTTAAAAGGTTTTTGGGAATTATGTCAAGATTAGAAACTCACGTATGCGTTCACACACTATAAAGTCCAGATATTCTTGGTCAGGGCACAGCATATTTTTGTGAGAAATGCCTTGTGTCTTGGCTGAGGTCCATGGGTGCTCTTAGTTTTATTTCCCATCTTCATCACCTCGTTTTATAGCTTCACTCTATCTTTTTTCCCCATATTTCACACCCCAAGTTACTGTTTAGTCAGGGTGCTTCCATTTCTATTTCCCCTGCTTTTAAACAATTTGTTCAGAACTAGTCACTCAACAGGAAGGAAATGCTCAGTGTTCCTTGTTAATTGGTGCTGATAAAGGAAGGACAATGTTGTAAACAAGTTTATCTGAAACTAGAACCGGACATAAGGATCATAACCTTGCTTTTAATCAGGTGAGTGTTGTGTTGTTATAGATGAGGAGCCCGCCCAGCCTTCTTATGTCCTGACTTCCTCTTGCAGGCCTATCACTGTTAATTACCAGAGCAAGTGCATTCACAGGATGAATTAAGAGACAACAGAGGGAGAACCTGTCTGATAATATCTCTGATCTCCTCATTGTTGCCCCATCCCCTGTTTCATTTGTTTAAAAGCCAAGAACAATGCAGTGAGTTTCAAGTGATAGGGCCCTAATCCACAGAGGCGGCTTTGAAAGGGATATCAGAATAAACAGTGCAGACATGACACAAGTGGGATGTAACTAGAAACTTAAACTCAAGTAAATTAATCCAAGGATACTTTGAAGTACAGACAGAATGTTGATGCAAAAAGGTGTTAATTTTTATTTAAATGTAAACTATGAGACTTTTTAGGTGGCTCCATGCGTATATTATTGCTTTACTTGAATTGTTCTGCAGTATTACGGTAAAATTATCTACCTTGCAAGTTTTTGAATTATCTATCTTGCAAGTTATTGAGTTGTTCTCTCATTCTTACTGTTCACAGAGCTGACTTGCACCTTGGCCTGGTCATGCCTCGTCTCATTTAATGCCATACTGTGGAACATTCTTGGAAAGACAATAATATGGAGACAAAAAAGTGGCAGACTGTCCACTAGAAAGGTTACATTCTGGCGAGAGACAGTTGTAGCCACAGCAGGAGGAAATATTGTAGTAGGACTTGGAGAAGGAGGGGTTATTGGAGTAGTTTTTACAGTAAAAGTAGGAGTATTACGATGAGTTGTTTTCATAGAATTGTGGGCGTATGAGTCATTTCTGTTTGAACAGTATTATTTTGAATTTGTTTTCTTAGTACCAACTTGAGCCACTTCTGTGTCTTGCTGTAATATTACTTGTACAGCTAACAACACCTGCTTGTATTTTGAAACAAGAACTTTCTCAAAATTGAATTTCCTTTTATGGGCAGTGAGATGAATGGGTTCTTTAATTAAATCACTCCACAACAAACAGGAAAGCATTGCCTCAACCAGCAGAACTCCCACAGCTCTCCGAGAGGAACAGGGCTATTACATAATGCATATCTTAGTAATCAAATAAACACCATACCTGACGCTGTTGTACTGTCCACAATGCAGGACAAGTAATGGATCTTAGTGAGAAGTGTGGGGGTGGGGGATGTCAGTGGAGTGTCCCAAAGCCCATGTCAGATTTTGGCCATGTTTTTGCTGTCCCTCTCGCCTCTCCTCACAGCCTGACAAACTGCTCACTGAAGCCTGCCTAATCCTTGGCTGCCAGTACCAGGGGATTTATTATAAAGTTAGTTAATTTGAGGGAAGATCCACAGCTTTCCCTTGGACACACAGGCCCAACAGACTCCTGCTGCCTTCACGATTGACTCTAAAACCAGCAATTAATGAGGGATTGTTTGTGTTTGAACTTGAGAGGAGGATGGGGACAGCGGGGGGGTGTGAAGGGACTCTGAGCTGATCGGTTTGTCTTCTGGTGTTGTGGAAAAAAAGTTGTAATTCTATTTAAGTGCCGTCGTGTTTCATTTTTTCCTTTGTATGTGTTTACTACATGTAGGCAATATTATAAGTATATTCATATAATTTGCACTTGGGTGGGGTATAGCTCGTTTTGATTTGACCATGATTAATGTACAATTCATATTTTTCTAGTTCTTTTAAGAAGTCAATAAGGCATATCATGGCTGACCGATAGAAGTTGGTGGAAAGCTGTTTCAAGTTAACAGCTTCATTTTACCTGGCTTTTGCTCAGTAGAGACTGACAATTCCAGGGTTGAAATTATCCAAATGATTCTGAAGAAGATGTATGGAGTTTAAAAACACAGTGGAACGCTTTCTGTATTACCTCATGACATCAAAAGGTGGAAAGATGGAAAGTTTCCGTTTGAGAGAAGAACTCAGCCTAAATGTGCAGTGTTTGTGTGTTAAACATGTGTGAATGAAACAAAGCACAACTCCAGGTATGTTTGTGATGGAGGAAACAGCATTATAACATAGATCAGAAAATAACATAATAGCTCCTTTAATTTAACTTTTTTTTCTGTTTACCTGCAGTGTCTCGCCTTATTTACAGTCAAAGTGCCATTAGTGCTCTGTTCATTCCACTGCACTTTGGAAACTGTGCCAAAGTGCTGCATAGTAGTAGTGTAATTAAAAGATTGTCTATTCAGCTCCACTAGTTTTAATTGAGGAAAAATAAATAAATAAATAAAAACTATTAAAAACAAATAACAACCACTAAGGATCAATACATAGTAATCAAAGAAAAAAAAAATGAATGGGTAGGAATGAGTAGTTTTTTTTTTGCTAAGATTACTGAACTTTCTGAGGCCATAACATTAAAGCAGGTTTCTGATTCTCAAGTTTTAGTGTTATGATCAGTACTTTCACACTGCCCCAGAATGCTGTCTGTGTGCCTTATCCTGTGTACCCTGTGTACCTTGTGTACCTTGTGTGCAATGTGTACCCTGTGTAACCTGCATACCCTGCGTACCCTGCCTACCCTCCCTACCCTGTGTACCCTGTGTACCCTGCGACAGCCGTGGGACCCCTTTGACCTCGGGGCAAGTGTTGGAGCGACTGTGCTCAAACAACAGGTGTCTTTAACAGCAGTCTAATCCCCCCTCACATACAGGACGCCCCGCTGAGGCTGACGTCAAGTATCGGCCCGCGGCGGTCGCTCTGTAAAATAATATGCACTAATTAGTCAGACAGCTCAGTATGGGGGCGCACTCTTCGTCTATGTGTTTTTATTTTTAATTTATGGCATTTGAGTGGCAAACGTCCAACTGGGAGCTCACTGGGTGCTGTAATCTGGCTTGATTGCTACAGTATCGTTCCAACACATGAATATTTAATTAATATTTACATTATCTCTGGCAGTTGTAATCTGCTAATCCTCGCTTTTGCTATATGAAGAAAGTTGGCTCTATATATTTTTAAACTAAGCAATGAGTAAAGAGTATATGATTGATAGTTAATGAATATGAAACACATTTAAGCACAATGGACCAGTGTCAGTTACTACTACTACTACTACTATGGAGTAGATAGATAGTAGACTTACTATCACTAAGAAGGAATGCACTATCTCAGCTTTTTCAGTTCCGATACTATCTGCCAATACCAGTGCCCCCAATTTTCCCCCAAACAAAAATATTGTATGACAATATATGTTATTTAGTTGTTATTTATCTATCAAGTAATTACAAAACAACTTTGCATTAAAATATACATTCTTTAGACTTTCTGGACCAAGCACGACCAGTAAATAGTCCCAACCAGGATACTGACTTAACTGATATTTTGGAGCCAATACCTGATTGAGCAAATTTTCATAGATCTGTGCCAGAGTATTGGTATCAGTGCATCCCTATCACTATGCATTACAAAGCTTTTTACAACAATAAATTGAAGTGAAA